CCGAGAGTATAAGGAGCTCAAGGCTGGTTAGGGAAATACAGTGAGTTGGAATTGGGCTAGCCTAAGGAGAACTTATCTCAGAGCATACCAGACAGAGAATGAAATCCACCAACTCCATTGGACTGAAATGGCAAAGGGATAACACATTAACAAAATATCACCTTCCTTTAACTTTGGATTTAAGCTAGGTGGAAATAGAGGATTTAGATTTACTACAGGAAACCAAAGCAAGAAAATTAAGCTAAGTGGCCAATGGATCATATACAGAACAAGTAAAATACAGAGGGAATGGGTATACACACTGGTCAGTCATGAGGTATGATTATGAGTGCAGTCAATAAAGCAGGTGCTGAACACGAACAGAGAGAAAAAAGCTGCAGCAAACACTGACTATTCAAAGGATACTCTTGAAACTCATATTCTGCATCATGAACTCTTAACTTCACCCACATGGTGATGGCCATCTGGACCTCTATACACGAAACACAAGCTCACAGCTGTTCACGAGGTTCATCAGATACTGACATTATAAGCAGGTATCCAAGTTACTTCATCTTCCCACTGGAGAAAATACTTATGGTGGTCACACCTGACCCCTGGGATTCCTTACTGAAGGCTCAGGTTTGGCCCTAGTAATCCCAGCATCATCATGGACCAGTTCTGTAACATAGTCAAGGTCTACAAAGGTCAGTTAATTTGGAGGCGGACATCCTTTCAGCCACTGGAACCTCACTCTGAATGTCACCACCTGTCCATTTCACTCTGTATGGTGCTGTGGGATGCAAACATCCATTAGCCCTGTGGCCTTTGACAATGGCAAATGCCAGATAATCTGGTGCCCTGGAGGTTATATGCAAAGGAGCAGAGCTTGCCTGTGTGCAACAGTACTTTGTATAGAAAAAACAAAATTAATAACAATGGTGTTAATCTGTGTGATTACATATAGTACATATTAGTACATAAGATGTACATATTAGTACATCTTATAAAGTCTTCTGTCCTCTGGCCACCTCTGTGACAGAATGGCCTGGCCATCTCTGTGACAGCCTGCTTGAGAGTGTCCTTGGAGAAGAGAGAGGAAGTTATTTTCCTGAAGATTTGGAACCTAGCAGTCCACACTGGCATTGCCATGTATATATAAACAGAAGGGAGGCAGACCTGCCAAGTTCTCGGGTACCGAATGAAAGATTCCTGAGAAAATTACCACTGCTGATGCCTCAGAGAGTTTCTGCAGCAGGTGAAGAAGAAATTCACTGAAAACTACAAGGAAAATGACAGCAAGAACAAAATCTAGCAGAAAAGGCAACCTAAGTATACAGACAATAGGATGGCCACCTAACACATGTAAAATAAGTATGATTGATATCTTTAAAAGGATAAAAGAGCAAAATAAGAGATACCATCAAAGAGGGAGCCAGTATAGGTTTGAACCAAAATCAGGCACTAGGGAAATGTCCAGAGATCTACAAGGATGACACCAACTAAGCATCTAAGTAACAGTGGAAAGGCCACCTTAAGTGCTCTCCCCTGATAATGAGATAACTTATATGCCATCCTAGAGCCTTCATCCAGCAGCTGATGGAAGTAGAAGCAGATACCCACAGCTAAACACTGAACTGAACTGGAATCCAGTTGCAGAGAAGAAGGAGTGATGAGCAAAGGGGACAAGACCACGCTGGTGAAACCCACAGATACAGCTGACCTGAACAAGGGGAAGATCTTGGCCCCCAGACTGATAGCTGGGAAATCAGCATGAAACTGATCCAGACCCCAAGAATGTGGGTGTCAGTGAGGAGGCCTTGGAAATATATGGGGCCTCTTGTAGTAGATCAGAACTTATCCCTGGGGTAGGAAAGGACTTTGGGAGCCTCTTTCATATAGAGAGAGACTCCCTCAGCCTACACACACTGGGGAGGGCCTAGGCCCTATCCCAAAGGATATGACAGACTCTGAAGACGCCCCATGGAAGGCCTCACTCTCTCTGGGGAGAAGAAATGGTGTTGGATAGGTAGGGTGTGAGTAGGGGGCAGGGGTAGGGGGAGGGAGAGGGAATGGAGAATGACATGTAAAACAATCTTGTTTCTAATTTAAATAAATAAATTAAAAACTGGATAAAAGCATATAGCCACACCTGCTTGTAGTCTCAGAACTTGAGAGATGAAGATATAAGGATCAGGAGTTCAAGACAAATCTGGGCAACAAAAACCACCATCTCAAAACATCAACAAAACAATAAAAATTAAATTACTTTAAATGATATAAAAGGCAACTTGCAATGTAACTAGCTAACAAAATTATTAAAGGACAAAGACAAAATTATTAGGGGATTTTTAAAAAATATGTATTTCTAACAAATCAATAATCATTAAAAATGACCAATGTGAGCCGGGCGTTGGTGGCACCTGCCTTTAATTCCAGCACTCGGGAGGCAGAGGCAGGCAAATCTCTGTGAGTTCAAGGCTAGCCTGGTCTCCAGAGTGAGTACCAGGAAAGGCTCCAAAGCTACACAAAGAAACCCTGTTCAAAAAACCAAAAAAATAATAAAAATAAAAATAAAAATGACAAATGTGTGAAATGAAGGGGAGAGGGTCTGAGGATTAAAGGATAAAATGTGCATGGGTACAAGAAAAGAATGGACAGGATACAATAAAGACTGGATCAACCAAAACTAAGGATGCATAAAAGGCCTATGGATGCCAACTAGTTACTAAGCTCAGAGTTGACCAACACAAAATAGACTCCTATTCTCTTGGGCAGTTTGGGAACCTTTGTGCCTTTGTGTGTTTGCTTGCTTATTTTGGTCAATTTTTTTGTCTTATTGGTTGTTTTTTTATAGTTTGAGTTTTTCTCCTTTTTTGTTTTTATTTTGGAGAGACAGAGAGAGAGAGAGAGAGAGAGAGAGAGAGAGAGAGAGAGAGAGAGAGAGAGAGAGAGAATAACCTGGAGTTGAGTGAGTAGGGGCGGAGTTTAGGAAGGAACTGGGTATTAAGCAGGGAGGAAAAGCTCATCAAAATATTGTATGGAATTTTAAAATATCAAACTAAAATTTTAAAAAGGAGTTAGATACACAGAAGATAGGAGTTATTAAATGAAAATCAAAGGGCAAAGTAAGGGATATCTCCCAAGGAATTAATGGTCAAGATATCACAGAGGTCTCCAAACAACACAAATTGTTGGCATGCCCCTAGTTTCCCATCATAACTACGTGGTAACACCCTATTGCTGAAGACACCACACACAGTGTCAGGACATAGAGACATCAATCTTAAACCAATCAGGAAATATATTCCCTTGGGCTAGCTTTCAATGGATCAAAAGGTGCTTTGCAGGTTGTCTTAGTTGGGGTTTTTATGGCTAGGAAGAGACACAATGACCTTGGCAACTCTTATAAGGAAAACATTTAATTAGAATGGCTTATAGTTTCAGAGGTTCAGTCTATTATCATCATGGTCGGAAGCATGGCAACGTGCAGGCAGAATTGGTGCTGGCTCCATCTTCATAGCAGGCTACAGGAAGTAGTCTGACACACTCTGTGGTATCTGGAACACAGGAAAGCTCAAAGCCAGCAGTCACTGTAACACACTCCCTCCAACAAGACGAAACCACCTAATAGTGCCACATCCTGTGAAATTATGGGGGCAATTATATTTAAAATACCTCAGGGAGAAAAGATATAAATGGTCTTTCCTAGTATTGGACCTTGCATGCCACAATGCTGGCCTGTCAGGTAAGTTGTGCCCACTGGAACCATTATTATAAGATAACTAATTGCTTTCTTACTGCAGTTGAAGGATGTCATGCTTGATTTTGAAACCTAAATGAAAACCCCATGGTTGTGGAAGTCATGGTCCCTAGTTTTGAACTTAGCAAAATGATATTACCATTTTGCTAAGTGATCCTGTGGTCAAATAGCATTCTTAATATTAATGTTTATGGTCTAGACCTGGGCGCTTTCAACATCCATCAGAGAAGCTTCTTTTTGCAATAGGCAGTGGTTAGTGAAGAGAAACAGAATTGGTCAAAATGCTTAGGAGAAGAGAGTTTGTGCTCAGCCCCAGAGGGGAAATCTTCATAAAACCCTTTCCCAGTAAATAGAAGGGAAGAGGAAGCAGAAATAATGCAAGAACTAGAGAAGGGTGAAAGCACCATGAAAAACAATGTTCTGGACCTGACAAAATTTGTTAGGTGACAGCTGCTGGAAAAGGGGCATTCATTGCAGGGAAAATGTTACCACCGATGGGTATCCTGTCTCCTGTGGATGCTCTGCCTTGCACCTAGTGACAGCATCAATTAAGAAAACAGCAGTTAGAGGGGCACTTGGTAGGATAAAAGCAGAGGAAGTTTGGGGGAGGTAGGGAAGGAAATGATCATATTTTATGTTATATATGAGATTCATTCAAGAAAGGAAAATATCATTATTAAAGATAATCAATGAATAGTTTGCTTCCAGATTATAAAATAACATAAAACCTGGAGATTACAACAATATGATACCTTGAAATGGAAGGTAGATTATACATATGTGTGTATATGTAAAAAGCTTCTATATATATATACATATATATATATATATATATATATATATATATAT